TTAAGTGAGTAAAACCAGACTGTGCTCAGTGGGCACCATAACTTCTATTACCAAGGAAATAAACAGAATGCCAAACCACTGGTTGTATAAGCCATCATTCTGGCCTAAGACAGTAAGAGGAGGTGGGACAGCAAAAAGAACATGAATTTAGATGAGCAGCTGCCCACTTCACAAAGGCCCAGGAACAGATGGCTGGGGACAGGCTAAGGTGGGTGATATTCAGTGAAGAGTCACAGGGAATGCTAAGGATGTAGGACATCAGCTATGACAGTGGGCTCAGAAAGCAAGAAGAAGGCGCCTTCATTCTTAACTGCAGCAGAAGGCCCTGCAGGTAGCCAGTTGCCCGACCAAAATCAGAAAGATCTGGATATAGCTCTTGCTCTGGTCCTAAAGCCTGGAAAGCCTGTCAGTGGTACGTCTGACCAGTTAGGGACAGACCAACAGGCTGTATGTCCCAGGCACCAACCTAGACAAGCCCACTTGCAGGGCCAGCCTCAGTTCCTGAAGGGCCTAACCTAGTACAGGGATGAGCTGTGGACAGCCCTCTTATCCTATCAAGACCATATCCTGGGTTTTGCAAGGCTAGGGGTGCTCTACATGAGAAATGAGAATAGCCGTCAGGTACCTTTGTTTGGGCTACTCACCAGCCTCTGGTGATGAGCTCAGGTAACCTTTTCCTGGACCAAGTCTGAGCCCTGTTCTCTGGCTTCAAAATGGCAGCGCTGAGTAAGATCTGTTTTACCCATTGCTTAACCTCTATGCCTATGACTGCCTGAAACACAGTAGGTGTAAAGATACTGCAAAGATGCTCAAGAAAACCTATCTTAACATCATTCTTTTGGCAGCATAAGAAATATTGAGGTTCACAGTAAGTAATAAAATAAGTGGAAGTTTCTGACCATATTACCTGAGTTTGTATTATGCTTCTTGATGATCCACAGGTTGTTGTAGTCCTTGTGCAAATACGTGGTGACCTGAGGAAGGATGGAGGCAGAGTGCAGAGGAGGTGGGAGGGAGAATAAATTCATTAATCAGCACAGCTGGGTAAGTACAACTTCCAGCAAACAATACTGCTGAGCCTCTTTCAGAATCCCCAGCCACCAACCAAAGGGGCCACATCTCCCAAAGGGGCTCAAAAGTTGTTTTTATATCTCATTAAAGATCCAGCCTTCTAGAAGGAGGACCCATGACACCTTATATAATAGTCAGAAGCACAGAGTAGATATAGTGCATTTTTAAAAGCAATACCATGGCCAGGCATGGTGGTACACACCTGCAAGCCTAGCACTCAAGAGGCTGAGGCAGGAAGATTACTTCAAGTTCAACTCCAGCCTGGGTTATAAAGCACTGCACAGTGAAACCCTATCTCAAAAAAAAAAAAAAAAAAAAAAAACCCAAAAACCAAAAAACCAAAAAACATGCCTCAAACTTTCCAAAGGAAAATGTCATGATATATTTTATATACTGTAGCTAAGTGAAACAAAAAGTTCCACAGCTCCTCCTGGAGTTTTTATACGTGGATATACTAATTTTATAATTTAGGTATATGTGCACTCATATGCACCTATCTATGATGCTGCATTTAATCTAACAGCAAAAATCTGGAAATAGTCTGAATCTCTATTAGCAGAGAAAGAGTTAACATGGTATTATATCCATGGGCTATATCATCATACAGCCACTAAAAGTGCTTCAGATCATTTTTAGCAGTCCAGGAAAGGCTCCTGAAATGTTAGGGGTGAGAATGGCTACTATGTGTCACCAGGAGGTACTTTTGTTTCCCCCACAATACTCACAAGGAAACAGGTTAAGTCATTTGCTCGGAGCCACACAGCCTATGTGTCAGGAAGACAGGATCCACAAGAGCCAGCTCCAGTGTTCCCAAGATACAATTATGCCAATTGTGCAAACAAGTACAGAAAGGTCTGAAATGCAGGCACTTCTTTTACAATATGAGTTTTCATAACCCCAATTGGATACAACATAACCAATCTGCTTGCACAGATTTGAGTGACAGTTTATAAAAAAAAAAAATTTGCATGTTTTATGGCTTCTTTGAGCACGTTTTTGTTTTTCAGAATAAGTTAATTTTTAAGGTACTATGGGCTATATGGTGGGAGACTGCTTTTCATTTACTTATTTCTTAGACCCTTATTTCCCACTGAAACATTTGTTTCTACAGTGGAGTTTGTAATAACATGAGGTTTCCTAGGACACAGGATCTAATTATAGCAGAAAATATTTGGATAAAATAGATCTAGATTATATGTAGTTTCTGCTTCTTTTTTATAATTTTCCATATCTTATAATTTTACTTTACAAATGTTATGCTTTAAAAACATTTAATGTGAGCCAAAGTAAACCTTTCTTCTTTAAAAAAAATAATATTTAATATGGAGAGCTAGACATTAAACTGCAGAGCAATGATGAGAGCTAGACATTAAACTGCAGGGCAATGAAAATGACCACTTGGCCCACTCTCCTCAATTTGCAGAAGAGCAAAGCAGCTTTGAAAGGTCAAATGTCTCAGCAAAGACCTTTCTGTCCCCTGACCCACTACTCTGTACACTACCATCAGTTGGCACCTGCACACCAGTGCAGAGGTGCAGAAGCAAGCTTAGTCTTCCAGAACTTGGCCCTTTTCTCACTTTGCATAGGTCTTCCTGGCCACCACACCCAGGACTTAGTTATTTCTACATGATATCTACAGCAAGGTATCACTGTAGAGTAGTTGGCTGTGATTTTCTGGTTGTGTGATAAGATCATGTGCAGAGCTAAAACTACAAGAAAATGCCAGGATGCATGGGCCCCACCCCAGGTCGTTCAGTCACCATCTCAGTGGTGGAGCACATGGGTCAGAATGTTGTAAAAGTGCTCCTGTTGATATGAAGCACAGCCAGAGCTGAGAAGCCCTTGCCTAGAGATATGTAGAGCATCAAGGAGGAAACACTGACACTCAAGTCCAGTATCTTGGGTCAACATTCCAGTAACTACAAAAGCAAATGACAAAAATGCAATAGCAAAACTTTTTGCAAAGTAAAAATACTGGTCATTTGGTAAGAAGAGAAACCTGATTTGCAAGCCTCTCAATAACCGTCCTACAGCCTCCACCTCCTCACCTCCCCTCTGCTTCATTGCACCTGCGACGTCTCCTGGTTACTGTTTCACAGACTTCTGTCAGTCACAGGCCTACTTTGCATTTAGGGCCCCTTTCGAGCCTCACCCTCTGAGGACTCCATAGCACTGTAAGTGCTGACCACCTCTTTCCAGAGACCTTGCTGCCCTTCTCCTCTCCTCCACTGGTCCTCTAATGCACTCTGATCCTGCCTGTTCTGGCTCCATCAAGTAGCTGCGGACATGGCCTCCTATGTGTACCCAGGGCTCCCTCATGGGCCCTTTGCACCTGCACAGCCTCCCTGTGAGCTAAAGCCACATGCTATGCACTCTCATCTCTTTCCTAAGACAAGTCCCAGACCTTTAATACACAAAGTCTAATTCTCCCATCTCCAAAGCTATTTCTCTTCTGTTTTCTGTATGGTGAAACAGCCTTTCCATGCTGATACATCTTCACATCCCAAATGACAGCCTTGGGTAAAGATCTTCTTGTCACTGGTCTGTTACTTGGCCCTGCCATTATATCTGTGTGGTGTTTCCTGAATCAATTCCTTCCTCTGTCCTCACAAACTTTGACTCTATCCAGAATCTTCTTTCATAATTACTATCTACTAACTAGCTTGCAATCTATTCCATTCCCACTGGAGTTATCTTTCTAAATCTAACCATTCTTGGCTGGGGAGATGGCTCAGTGGAATAAGTGCTTCCCTGAAAGCTCAAGGGCCTGAGTTCAATCCCTGGTTCTGAAAAAAAAAAAAAAAAGACAAAAACTAAATCTAACCATTCTTGCCATCACTTACTAACTTGCATGCCTTCCCAGTGTCTTCTATAACACAGGTCTCTCCCAAGCAGGCAACACCAAGCTCTCCATCATCTGCTTGCCCCTTTCATGCACCATCTACCATCGCCAAACCAGCACTCCCTAACATGAACACATGCCACACCTCAATTCAGTTAATACTGTGGCCAATCCTCACCCTGAACTTTGCATATATTATCTCATTCAACCCTCACAATCACCTTATAATAGACAGTGGTACTATTTATTTCCCCTAATGATGAAAATACCACACACACAGATGAAGCAATTTGTTCAGTCATACTCTATATGGAACCAAGATTCAAATGCAGGTGATCTCGCTTGATTCCCAAGTCTGTGTTCATAATTTCTGATTATACACCTCACCAACTCCATGCCACGCATTTCAGCCTTTCAGAGTGAGCAGTCAAGCAGCAGATAGACAGGAAAAAGTGAACAGTCACATTCCCTATAAATGTACAGGCAATAGAGAGGTTCAAAGAAAGCTCTCCTAAGAGAAGCACCTAACCCACTACCAGAGAGAGAGAAGAACTCATAAATTGAAACCCAATTAACCAGAGGAAAGGACAGGAGCATGCAGTAATGAAAGAAAGAGAAGCAAGAAAGAGAATGCAGGTTTGGCCATGGGAAACAGTTTGGTGTCACTGCAGCAATGCACAAAAGACCCACCAACCTGTTGTTGACGGGCACCAATGCCTTCGGGGTAGAGGTGTCTATGGGAGTGCAGGTAGCCAATGGCCATCCGGAGGTTCTTCACTGTGATCACAGAGCCATAAGCCAGATCTGGAAGGGAGGAAGCAGACAGACGAGTGGCCACTGTGCTAGAGGCTGCCCGGCCTAGAAGGGACCTCCAAAGCCACAGGACTAGTGAGCCCTCTAAAGGACTCCACTGAGCACAGGGCTGTCTGAAGCAGGAGCTGCCTTCTCACATCAGTGGGACCAACTCAAGAGAGGGCTCCCCCCTGGTCTTATCTGCACATCCCCTCCTGTTCTAGTCCCTCCCAAGGACTTCAGAAAAAGCTGAGTGTTGACACTGTCATTATCAAAGCATATCTGTAAAAGCAGAAGATCAGAATCAGCCCATCCAGTCAAGGTCTGCTCAAGTATACAATGAAATAAAAAGAACCATTTTCTGCTTTGTCAGGACTGGTTTCCAAGATATACTAATATAATGAACTGTTACAACAGACTCTGCATCCTCTTGTGCCTTTTAAATCTAGTACTATATGAAATAGCTGTTTTAAGATGTTTTGGGTTTTTTCTTTATTGTGAATTAAATCTTTAAAGATGTGCGTAAACCACTTCTCCAAGAACATCCTTTCCTTTTGCAGGCCTTGGTTACTAAGTAGGCTCTTTTCCTTACCACCATCCCTCTTCTCCCTGTGATATGGCTCCCCTGCCATGTACCACTGCACTGAAACGGGTCTCTTGCTCCACCAGTAATGCAGATCACCAGAATGCATCAGTTACACAGTTACACAGAAAACAGATCCAAAGGCAGAGGATGCCGGCCTGGGCACTGAAGAGCCTTAGCTAAATAGAAGACAGCTTCACACTCTGAGAAGAACAGCGCAAAGAGCAAGTGCCTCGAGCAAGGGTGTGATAATGTGTGACGTGGACGGAGCCCAGGGAAGGGTTGAACAAATTCTCTCTCATGGAGCAAAAAGACAATGACTTAAGACCACGGCAAGCTAGGCCTTTTAAATAGCAACAAGAATTCATACTGTAGCTGTTTCTCAGCTCTCATGTAGGCCAACATCTAGAGCTGCATGCTTTTGCTGAAGTCCTCACCTTTGTTTCTCGAAATACTCTGTTCCTCCTTCTCAGCCTTCCTGCTTCCCACAAACTGTTCACCTGCAGCCTGCTTCCCTCATTCCTTTTCTGGCACTTGCGTGAGCTTACCTCAGCCGCACTTTTTCTCTCTTCCTAGCCATTCCCACAATACCAATTACCCTTCAACCTGGGTCCTTTGGAAGAAGCAGCCCAACCCTACTGGCTCCCTGCACAGCATTTAGCTCAAAGTCAGCCTCTCTGCTGTGTAACACACTATCTGCCCTACTGAGCCGAATTTTTCTCCTGCTTTCCTCATTCCCATTTCTTTCACCATTCTGGAGGGCCTACCATGCTCTAGAGACAAAAGTATTATGTAATATGTGGACCTTGCGACCACGAAGCAGTCACTGCACTCAAGTCCTCTGTGACATATTTCTTTCCTTCCTTGACCCATGTCCCCAGCATATATACCCAGTTGCCTCATCTCTGAGGCTGCCGTCACCAGGCCTAGCTGCAGTCTCTGCAATTGCTTCCCAGGGATGCCTTTTACCCCTGATCCTGTCCTCTCCCTAGCCATCTTACACTCCTGCTCTTGTCTTCTGGCTTTCTACCTGCTCAAAGACTTTTACCATGTCTCCAATATTTCATCTAAACATCTCACAATTTGGGTCATAATCTAGACCCAAACTCTTTTTTTTTTGGGTGGAACCGGGGCTTGAACTCAGGCCCTTGTGCTTGCCAGGGAAGCGCTTATTCCACTGAGCCATCTCCCCCGGCCCCCCAAACTCTTTTCAAACTTGTATTTTAGCATCTTTCTGCATGTCACTTGTGCCTGGAGTTTTACCCTGTACTCAGCTTTAATCACTCTATCCCTTCTGTTCAATAACACCTCTTCTCCAACTTCTACTTCCTAAAATTTACCCACCTTTCAGGGCCTGACTCCAGGGCAACCCACTGCATGCCTGTATTTCTGATCCCTCCAACCATTCAGCAGGAGTGACCCAACACACTCTTCAATCTCCAGTGCTCTGTTCTCTTTTATGTGCTTAACACAAGTGATCACACAGCATGGGGATCCTCTACACCAGACTCTACTGACTATTGTCTGCAAACAAGTGAATCAATGGCAGTTTCAGAACACTGTAGTAGAAGCTGACCACCCGCCCTGGTGGGCCCTGCTCTGTCACCAGATTCTCTCTGACAAGCCTTCTCACAGAGCTGGCTTTGACGGGGTCAAAGAGCTTGCTGCTGAGTATGTCTTCCTCTGTGCTGACCTGACTCGCTCCTGAGATTACTTACCATGATACCAGGTCTTTCTCCCACTCTGCCATCTACACACTAAAATAACTCCAGCAATCAGAACTTTCTCTTCTGATATAACTCTCAAGAAATCCCCCTGCTACTCTCTCTGTGGAGGCCTAGAACACTCACGTTCGGGGATGGAAGCATTGTGAAGGTTGTTTCCTGAAAGTCGGGCCTGGAAGGCAGAACTGAAGAAACCATCACCAGGACCACTGTGGGAAGATGACGGGTAGAAGAGAGTCAAGTTAATGGAGTGAAAACTGTGATTTCCCAGGAGCGCTCAGTTGATTTAAAAGAAGTAAAATCAGAATGGCAGTGTGGTATCATGGGACACAGTAGATGATAAGTTGTAGAAAATGGGGTCCAAATCTCAACTCAGCCACTTACTAGGTAGGTGACTTGAGATATACACCTAACTTTGTTTAGCCTCAACTCCTCACTGATAAATTGGAGGTTTAAAATAAAAACGCTTTAAGAATTCACAAATGGTTATGACTCAAGGAGGTCATGTATACAAAATGCTCAATAGTTCCTGGTACTTGGCAGGTGCTCATTAAGTTGGAGCATTGTGCTGGGGTTAGTTATTATTATCCCCACTCCTGCCCACCCTTTTATGGTGCCCTTCCTTACTAAAGACAAGGGACTCAGCTTAGAGATAAAGGGTATTTTGACTACGAAGAAATTCTCTTTCTTTAGTGTGAAGTGCCGACCTCTCTAAGTCTTGGAACACTCAGATGATAGAAAGCAAAGGAAAAAGAAAAAGTTCCTGCTCCACCTGTATGATCCAAGCCACAGACTCAGAAAATCATAGGGCTCATCTATGGGCTCATGAGTCCAAGGGAGACCAGACTAAGACATGGGAAATTCTGGCTGTACCTTTTACTCAGCACCATGATATGAACAGCAAAAATGGCCATGTAGAGTGCCAGAGGCAGTACTATGAGACACAGGATGCGAGCAATCAGGTGTTTTCCCATAGTGACCTGCAAACAGAGGCCAACATGGGATAGTGAACACATGAGCCTATTAGTCCTTATAAGCTCTATGGTGTTACATATGTTCTTTTTTTTGGCTGGCTCAGAATGCCTTTAGGGCATGTTTGGCTGGCTGGAGTTGTGGGGATCGAACCACAGCAACCTGAGGCTGACTGCTTTGTTGAAGCAGCCACTTAAACAACTGAGCTAAGGGGCAGGCCCCCAATATGTTCTTATATGTTAGCCCAATAAGCTAGGACCCAGGACACATTAATCATGAAAATGGTTAACAGGAAAGAACATGTGGGAACCCTAAGTCTCTCTTTCTGTAATACCCCACATACATATACTCCAACTCAAGCACTAATATGGGCCAGTCCTCTGCTGCCTCTCCAGGGCCTGTACCCAGGGCAGCACTTTGAATAAGGCTCAGGTACTGCTCACCAGTGGCTGCCACATTCAGTAACAATGAGCTCCCTGCACGTTCCCAACACCTCCCTATAGTGTGACAGCCTTACCATCACGTGGCCAACTGAGTCCTGCCTTCCTTTAGGCCTCAGGGAGTGCCCCTTACACTGTCACAGCACATATGAGTTGGACTATAATCGCCTGCGTACCCATTTCTCTTTCTTTCTCCATGGACTCCAGAAGGCAGGAATCATGTTTTATTCATCTGTGTACTCCCAGCTTCTCACACTTAGTGGATGCTCTCCATTTATTTTCTGAATAAATGTGTTGGGGGTTTGATTCAGAGGTGACAGAGTAGCACCATAAGCAAAGAAGGTGAAGCTTTTAGTCAGCCTAAGTATAAGTCCTAGACCTCCCTTTATTACCTGTAGGATGGAAACATTTCAACTTCCTCAACTGTAAAATCAAGGTAATAACTACCCACCTCACAGGATTAATATGAGGGTTCAGTGTGACAATGAAGGTTAAGCATTTAACACATTAGTGCCTGACACCAAATCAATCCTCAATAATTAATAAGACAGGGGCCAGGGAGATGGCTCAGTGGAATAAGCGCTTCCCTGGCAAGCACAAGGGCTTGAGTTCAATCCCTGGTTCCGCAAAAAAAAAAAAAAAAAAATAATAATAATAATAATAATAATAATAATTAATAAGACAGTAAATTTTAAGGCTCTTACTGGCCTCACTGTATGAAACCCATGGGTCAGGAAAAGGAAATGGAGCTCAAAGGTTATCCCATCCATTTTACCTGAAGTCTCAAGAAGCCAGTGTCTGCCACACATCTGGCATGAACCCAGCTGAACAGATTCCCCTGGCTAGGTAGCTCACAGAACATTTAATTTAAAAGACAGTATAGAAACAAAGCCCAAAGGAGAATCCCAAAGCTGTTACTTCTCTCATTCTATATCTCTCCAGCCCTCAGCCAGGCAAGTCCCTGATACCCCACTATGTGCACAGGGCAGCCAGTCCAGCTGAGCTAGGACCCAGGACACAGCTAATGCACTACCTGAGGCAGAGACAAAGGCCGGCCACTGGTTCCTGCTGAGCAACACTGAGAAGCAAAGTCACTGCAACCACCACACTTGGGCTCTCACCAGTGAAAGACTGAGGTCTCCAAACAGGTGCCACAGGTCTGCAATCGTGTTCAACCCCACTTGGAGGATGATAAAGAGGCCGACAAACTTGACCCCTAAAGCACCAGCAAGACTGATGCCAGTCAGGCTGAGCCAAAACCACCAGGGGGCAGAGAAAGGCCTGGAAACAAACAAAGCAAGAGTTCAGTTTGGCCATTAGAACCAAATTGGAAAGCAAAAGCAGCAGCAGGACAGGGCAGAAGTCCTCTGACTCAAGAAGGCTGTGCTGTGCCCTGTGCCTTAAGGTTACTCACCTCAGGCAACAATGGTATGATTCCACAGAGCATGTGGTCTGTGAAACTCCTGAAGCTGTAGGCCAGCCAGTGTGGGAGAGAATAGGACATTTTTCTGGGGAGAGGGTCCATGATGTTCCTGGCTAAATACAGGGCATAAGGTATACAGCAGGCTCATTCTTCACTAGTGACCAATCAAGTACAAGCAAAAGGGAAATCTTAAGGAGTTCACTATACTATCCCCTCTCCTGTGTGTCACCTCTGGACACGGACATCAAAGCCAGTACTTATTTACTGGGTGCTTACTACGTGTCAGGCATCATTCCAAGTACTATACACATATGAACTCTTCAAATCTTCACAACCCAATGAGGGAAAGCTTATTATTATCATCTTTTTACACATGAGGAAACTGAGGTGCAGAGAGGTCAAGTAATATAGTTTGGAAGCAGTGGAGTACAGATCTTACCCTGGCATCAGCTCCAAGGTTAATGTTCCTCACCACTTTGCTAACCTTATAATAAACAGTACACTGCAGTCCAATTTTCAGATGATCTGGATGCCCTGCTTCCAGATTAGAAGCTCCTTAAAGCCAGCACCTCTGCACCTCTAGCTCCTAGCACAGTACTTGCACGTAATATATACTACAGAGAGCAGAAGGAAACACACGTGGTAGAAGTATAAGATAACCAAAGCTGGAGTGGGCTGGCATTACTAGTTCAGCTGTGACCAGCATAACATGGCTTAATGAGCTTGGCCATGCGTGAGATCAGCTGACTTCTAGAAGAGTCGGGGTAGGGGAGAGTTCTTTTGAGTCTACTGTTCTACTATCTCAGAGGTAGAGGAATAATCCAAAAAAGACTATCTGGAAGCAGACCAGACTCTCCAGATAAGCTTCAGAATTGACCAGGGCCTGGAAGGATCCTCTGAGCTGGTATGGACCACTCATTAGTAGGTCAGGACTGCATGCAAGCACTAAGGGCAGGGAGACAAACAGGGTCTGGTCAGAGTCTACCCTGGTCTCCTCAGCTCCAGGATGCAGAATGTGAGAGATACATTTTTCCAGATCT